CCTCGGCAGCAGGAGTGCCTCTGCCTGTCCAGAGCCTGCCAGGGGAAGGCTCGACAGCTGCTTGGTGGGCCCGCTAGAACAGAGCCAGTGCCAGGTGGCACTCGCCCAAATGGCGGCCAGGTGAGAACGCCACTAGCATTGTGGGAACTCTGGGCGGGCTGTCCTGGGCGCTCTTGACGGCGGCTTCCCTCATCAGACAGCTTGCGAGTAATTGCCTCCATTTTTCCTCCTCCTAATCGGTTGTGGAATGCTGTTGTCCTTGGGTGACGTCTGCCCTCATTTGAATATTACTACAGATGTCTCAATCAGAAATCAATTAGACAGCCTGGCGGGGGCTGCCAGTCTCAAGGGTCTCGTCCTCCACTCCATACTCCTGAGTCTACTGCTTCTGTGTTCGGAAACTCCCTGGCCATCTCCACACCCCATCTGGTTAGGAAGCGGACACCGGAAGGGCGACTCCCCTGCCCTGACGTCTGATCTGGGCTAAGCGTCTACCCTCCTGCTTGCTCTCACAGAGGGTGTGGCACGAAACCCTAAGGGAACCCTCCTCCCCTGGGGCAGGATTATGGTCGTGGCCCAACAAGCCAGCCCTGCTGCTTAGAGAGAGGGCTCAAGGGTCCCGAGCTCAGGTGCTGAGGCGGCAGGACACAAACTCTCAACGCGAACACCAGGTTGTAAGCAATCCCTAAGGCCACACAGGACACTTCCAGTTGTAGTCATCACTAGCCGGTGGACGAGAACTTTCTGGTCAGTCATCTGCTCTTGCTCCCTGTATGATAAGCTTGGTTTTTATGCCTCTAAATACAGGAACCAGATAATTTAAGTTTTATTTAAAGGAAAATAAAGGTAAGGGTGACAGAGACCCAAACTCCAAGGACCACGGAAGTCTCCAAACCTGAACCCTTTCAGAGTGACATGACCAGGGGCCAGAAGGTGGTATGGTGGTTAAGGCGCTGGACACTCCGACATGGCCAACCAGTTCAAATCCCGGACCTGGTGATTTGCTTTCTCACTTTCCTTCTCTCTTTCTCTGTGTCTCTCTCTGGTCAAAAAATAAATGAATGAATAAATAAAAAATTGAAATGCATAATTCTTAAAAGAAAAAAAAGTGACCAGACCTCAGGGCCTCCATACCCTGACTCTGGTCCTTTGAGTATAGCAGCTTCTGGCTTTGAACAAAGCCCCCATCTGCAAACCGAGGGGTGACTGGAGGTGTGGGTGGAGGGCAATGGAGCAGAATCTGGGGTGACCTCCACGATGCCGCTGTTAGCCTGTGGTCCAGGCCATCAGGCAGCGGGGCCACTGGTCCACAGTAGGCAATGACCCGGGTCACCGGCATGGATGACTGCCCTTCATGCTGATCTGAGTAAAGACACCATGGACCACACGCGTCCTAGTCCCTCCACACGAGACACTTGCAACTTGTCTTTGGGTGACATTTTCTCCTTTAGGTATCAGACGGGTTTGACTTAATGTCTGGTGATGGCCCGTGTGCAGACGTAACTGGGCCCTCCTCGGAGATGAGTGGACATGCTCGCTCCGTCCTGACAGCAAAGGACAGCGCCGTTCCAGGGAAAAGCCACGACAGAGCTTCCCTTAAGCCAAATTAAATCAAGTACTGGTGCAAAGCCTGGGGTAAAATATTATTCTGTTCCACTTTTCATACTGTCTGACCTCGTCCCTTAGCAACAGGACTGGGGCTAAACAAAGGCAGTTGTTCAAATAATTCGATGCCCCGTGTGAAGAGGCTAATCGCTTTAGTCTTGAAGTGTCAGTGATTCATAATCTTGGACTTTCGGGTTTGATTTGTATTCTTGCCTGGAACGGGAGAAGGGTCCGGCTGTCTGGCAGCTGACAGCGGCGGGCTCTGAGAGCCGTGGACGGGGTCGCGGCGCCCTCTAGTGGCCGCTGGAGCAGCGCGGCGGCGCCTGCAGCGGTGAGTCGGACAATCCGGGCTTCCTCCACCTCCTGGGGAGCCCGGCCTGACCTCCCGCAGCTGAAGGGCCACCCGACCACGCGTGGAGCACGGCCAGTGCGTGAACAGACAGTCCCCTGTCCCGGCGTCTCAGATGTCTCCCCCACGCTCAGCGCCATGTGCCTGACATGTGCGAAAAATCCTTGCTGAGTGAATGGGTGAAGCTGGGCATGAAGAGGGCTCCTAATCAGATTCCGACTCCGCAGAGCAGTGTTTCTACTGAGCACAATGGACCGCTTTAGCCAGCTGAGGGAAAGCTCTGCTCTGATAATTTACTGGTTTAAAAGGTTTCATTCTGTCTCAGTGGAAGCAGCCGACTCCTTGGACTCCTCGGACTCCTCGGACTCCTCCGCTGGAGTTCAAAGGCCTGATTCACAAAAGAGAACGCTGCTCGCGGTCAGGAACTAAGGATGTGCTTTTGAAGCAAACGCCTGGTTTGGAGATCAGACTGCAGCCTTGAGGCCAGAGCAGGGGGCCCATCGCCCCGCCACCCGCTCCTGCAGACTCCAGGCAGGCCCGCGGAGGGCGCCCTGGCCGCCTCGGGGACACTGGCACCTGCCAGCGGAGCGGCTCCCTCCCGCTCCCGCGCCCGCCTAAAGGCAGGATTCCAACTTGCTTAAGGCTTGAGTCCATAAACCTTCACTCTTCCTGACACCCCAGAGGAGCCCTGGGACAGCCCTACTCAAATGCCATTAGCATATTTTCATTTTTTAAGTCACAAGGAAAAGTTCTCGGGGAGAAGGACCGTGTAAGCATGGGCAGAGTTCAGAACCTCTGAGCGTCCCCTGCAGGGCTGAGCACTGGGATGGTGGCGCCCAGCCAAGCTCCCTCCAGGTGGTATCCACCTGCCGGTGTCCCCCTGGGCAGAGCCTTGCCCACATTCACCTCCACCTGGCTCCACGTGGACGTGTCGCCAGCCAGACACCGCCCAGGCGCCCCAGGTATTGGCTGGACCATGAACCCCGGGACAGCCCATCCTGGCCCCTGCTGCCTGGTGGGGTTCAGAGCTCCCACAGAGCAGACTCTGGGTCTGCCCGGGAGTGGCCAGGAGGGCACCGACTTCTTTCTTGGGTCTCCTGCCTTCTTGGCCAGTGTGCCAGTGCAGCCCCGGCCACTGGGCACTCGGAACCCTCAGAGTGTGGTAGCACCAAGCCCTGAGGGCTGCTGGGGATAGAGAGGAGGGGGTAGCTCTTGGCTTCAGGGAATATGGAGTGGGTGGCCAGGGTGAGAATGAGAGGCACCCAAAGAGCCAGTCCCAGATAGACTGAGGGTCAGGTGCCATAAGAGACATCAGGTAGCGGGCCTAGGGGTGGGGATGGTGATGAAGGGCACCAGGAAGATGGGAGAAGGGACAAGGAAGGCTTCAAGGAGGAGGTGGCACTTGAACTGAGCCAGAGAAGAGAGGAGCCTGCTGGGCGGTGAGTCAGGGCCAGTCTCCACCTTCACACTTGACTCCTCCAGGCCCATTCTACCTTAACCGGAGAAGTAGCAGAGCCTCAGAGAGCTCATGCACGAGGAGTGGCAGGTCCACTGCGCTCAAGGGCTGTGGTACAGTGGCCCTGAGGATGAGGAGAGCCGGTGAGTGGCAGTAAGGCACGGACAAGGAGTGGAGGGTCTAGGAGCAGCTCCACCCCCCGGGGCAGGGCAGTAAGCAGGTGCTGTCCCTGCCCCAGGAAGTCGAGGCCACTCTGTGAGAGGACAGGGCTAGAAGTCACCCCGGAGGGGAAGGATGCATGGCAGGGGCACACCTGCCATGCTCGCTGCCACCCCCACCTCACTTGCTCTGCACAGGACCTGACCTGTCCCTGCTCACACAGCTGCTCCGAGGGATCCTCCTTTGAATGCTATCGGGTGTGTGCTGGGAGAGGCAGAGGGCAGGGTGGAGAGGGGAGGAACAAAGCACCCCCCCAGGGGGATGGTCACGCTGCAATTCCTTCTCTCCCATTCTCAAGATCGTGGGCCCCTACACACACACACACCCCAGCGCGTTTCTCGAGTCACCAGGCCCAGATCTTGAACTGAGCTGGTGACCATGTGGGACCCAGCGCCTTGACCACTACAGCACCTGCTGGCCCTCACTTTCACTTACTGATGAGGAAACAGGAGAGGAAGTGGCCTGGCAAAGGTCACCAGGCTTCCCAGCACCTCCTATGCGAGGGAAGCCTGTCCCAGTGCAGAGTAAGCTGGGACCCGCCCAGGAAAGGCCAGTCGGGGACAGGAAGGACAAGGGCCACTGTGGGGCTGTGGTTTCTGAGGGCGCACTTCCCTCGCAGTGGGGGGCGGGAGAGCTGCTGCCAAGTCACACCAGTGTCTGGTCCCCGACAGTCGGAAACCAAGGCATCTCTGGGCTGACCATTCAGGGGCACGAGAGTCCCTGTGACATTCAGCACCCCCACTCTGGAAGGCTGTCTGTACAGACACCATGGAGACCTGTTGCCGCCCTCCCCCACCTCTCGTGAAATTGCACCTGAGGGACACTCTGTGACGGAGCCGGTGACTCCTGACAGCGTCCTGAGACAGTGCCAAGGGAAAGAGCGTCCTGAGACAGTGCCAAGGGAAAGGGGGCGCAGGACTGGGTTCGAGCCATTCTCCAGAAAGCACAGCCCTGGCCTGCAGTGGCTCAGACCAAGCTCTGCAATGAGAGGTTCTCCTGGGAAGGAGACACCTGCAGGAGGGAGGGGCCGCCTCAGCCCTGGTGCCCAGGCCGCACGGCGCCACTGAGGACCCGCGGGCGGGCACAGCCCTACACCTCCTAGAGCCAGTCAGGACGGCAGCATTTCAGTGTGGATGTGCAGGTACCTGTGGCCAGATTCACTCCACTCGAGAGGGGCAGAGCTAGGACTTGAACCCGCATCTGCCACCTTGAGGCTCAGGCCCCGCCACAAACGGGAGCCCACCATGAACGTGCGCTCTCAGCTGACAGGTGGGCACACATCCCCAGCAGGCTCAGGGGGTGGGGGGACACAGGGGGCACTGGCTGGTGACTGATGAGTCCTGACACCGAACCACGGGCCTCAGCACTTACCCCTTCCATGGGCGCTATGAGCAGGTCATAGAGGGCGCGCAGCGGAGGCTTGGCCAGCGAGCTCTGCCTCCTGGGGAGAGACGAGGTCCCGTCCTTGACGGGTGACACAGCGCTGCTGAACAGGCTCGTCATGCTCGGGCAGCTCCTGAGGGGACAAGGACTAGGTCAGTCTAGCCGTCGGCCACCATCCTGCCCATGTTCTTTGCTCCCCAACGCAGGGGAGAGGCTGTCCCCTTACCGGCCTCCCTCTCTCCCAGTCTCCAGCCCCTTTCCTTCCCTTCCAGGCAATGTCCACGGAACAGCAAGCCCTGCTGAAGCCGCAGAGCCAGCCAGCCGCACACCACAGCATGCGTGTCGGGGGTGCTGTCCTACATAGACAGCTGGCCCAGAGCGCTGCTCGAAGGGTGTCATTACATCCTGCATGGTGGGCAAACCTGGGTCCATCAGGGAGGAAGACCCCCGACCCAATTTGTCTAGGCGGGGAGGCAGACATGAGCTTGTGGCCGGCCTCGGGCTTGGATCGGCTGTGGCCCACTGAGGCCCATGGTGCTCCATGCAGCCTGTCAGACATGGACATAGGAGCCACCGGCCAGGAGCACCTCAGAGCCGGCCAGCAGCGGCTGCAGGGTTTGGACTGCCCTCTGATTTCTGCTCCAGCGCCTCCTGGCACAGTGGCCTTTTCAACCCCAAGGGCCCCCGTCTGCATGGTGACACAGGATGAGTTCCTCACTCATGAGGAAATTGTTTCTCAGCTGGCCGTGGGTGCACAGACGGCGCACTGCTGGATCCCACGTGGCAGCCGCGGCCAGAAACCCCACCTGGTCAGGCATGACATGAGTGCCCAGGCTCCCATAGGCTGGAGGACCGGAGGAGGGGACGGCGACATCACCAGATCCTGGGGAAAGTGCTCATCTCTTTCTCTCTCTCTTTAAAAAATAATTATTTAGTTTTATTTATTATTGTTATTTTAAAATTTGTTATAGGGCACATGTGCTCACCAGAGACAAAGAGAGAAAAAGTGGGACAGCAAGCTGTGAGGCCTGGGCCTCGGACTGCAGTGGGCCACATCCAGCACCTTAACCGCCACCCTACCTGCCAGCCCCCTGCCTGGCGTGCATGCACGAATGCTCTATTGTGGATAAAGGGGAACACGAAAAAACAATTCTGGAACGCCAGCTGTCTGCAGTCTGTCTCATGGTCGCTGGGGAGCTACAGAGGACAAGCACACAGGTGAGTGGCAGAAGAGGTGCGTCCGGTGCAGGGACGAGGCACACGTCCCTCAGAACTTGCCCTGTGGCCTGGCCAGTGTGGCCTCAACACAGCTGCCTGGTGACATTCTCTACTCGACTACCAGACGGAGCTTTCCCAGCCCCGATCTGGATGCTGGCTTAACCCTAGGTTCTTGCTAGGTATGCAGAGCCTCGAGGCTTTGCAGACACACCAGCGAGCAGAGGTCTGAAAGACCCAGTGGTGTTGCTCAGGTATGGCTCCTGCCCTGGCCCGCCCCCACCCACCTCAGTGCGCTCCATGGCGTCCACTTGACCTAAATTCTGGAGTGGTGCCAGGCTGGGCTCTGAGCACCCTCCAGCAGGCAGGAGCAGAGCAGGGCAGCAGGGCACAGAGGGCTGGGAGCAGCCCCCGTCAGCTCCCTGGCCTCGCTCACTCAGTAAATGTGTAATTACAAGAGACGGGGGCCGCGGCGTGTCTTTGCCATCAGAGCCAGCGATGCAAGATACCCCTGGAGTGACACTCAGAGGCTCACTTAATTCCACAGAACACGCTGCAAAGAGCAGTCCTCCCCTGAAGGAGAGATTACCAAATTGCTCTCCCGAGGAGGCGCTCCGGTGTGACACGCAGTGTCTGTCATGGTGCTGTTTGTTCTACGCACACGTGTCCTCAGCAGACAGGGGCAGGCCGAGAGCCCTCACACCCCCCAGGCAGCAGCCGGGGCAGCGCCGCCTGCACCCTGCACCTCTCGTCTCAGCTGAGACAGCACCACCTGGACTAGGGGCTCAAGACTTCCCCCCCCCCGGCACCCGAGTCTGACGCACCCAGCTGGGGGCATCCGGGGAGGCCCAGGCCCCCAGATGGTGCTGTGACCACAGGCCCTCACGGTGACTGGTGGGGCACCCCACAGACAAAGGCCCTTCTGCAGAGTAAGTCCCTGGTTGGAAGGCAAGCTCCTCTGGGGGATTTGAGACCAGGACAGTCCCAGCTGCTTGGGGACACAGCGGCTCCTGGCTGGCCCAAAGCACAGTCACTGGCTCCAAAACCCCCAGCCCACCTCACCCCTCCCTAGTGATAGGGCACATGGGGCTGGAGGCTGGGGCAGGGCATTCTGGCTAATGGCGGGAAGGGCAGGCGTCTGTAGGAGAGAGGCCTACAGTGAGGAGCGGCTCTGGCCTGAGCTGCAGCTGGAGAGCAGGGGGACCCTGGTCTCTGAGCCCAGAGCAGCACTGACAGGGACTGGGGAGAACCACCTACTCCCCGCATCCCCCGTCCGGTGCTGTGGCGGGGTGCGGGGTGAGGTACTGCTCCTCAGCAGTACCTCAGGTGCTGTACTCCTCTGATTTCTGTGAGGCCTGTAACAGTGCTTTTCACTTTCTAGAAGGGGAGCTTTGGGGTGGAAACACGCATCCCACGTGACAGGAGTGTGACCAGCTGGCATTGAGCTGCCCATTGAGGAGAGAAGGAACTGAACACAGCGAGGGCAAGAGGTCTGCACAGGACGGCCAGGCAGGTCAGGTTCAGGCCTCGCATCTGGGGGCAGGGGTCTTCCGGGCGCCCTCCCAGGCACCGCAGTCCTTAGTGGAGGTAGGCTGCTCCAGGACTCATGGCTGCACCACTTCCCCGGCTCCAGCAGGTGGCACTGGCTCGCTTTCCTGCCATTCACTGCCAGGGCCCAGCTGGGGCCGACAGCCCCGCTCCTCGCCG